CTTCAACATCCAACACTGTTCAGCCTCCAGGCTTCTGCTTCCTACAGTAAATACGTATTTTATGTGGTTGTAGTTCAGAAAAGATCGACAATTTAGTGATTTATTTGTTTTCTAATGTTACTGAAACAATGCTGATGGCTGCATGTGTTGTCCAGGTTTTTGGTTAACAATCTCAACCAGACAAAGTGCTTAACTACTACTCTGTTGTTGCTGAGGAACAGAGCCAGATATTTCCTCAGAGGTAAGAAAGTTTACAGTGTTCATTTAAAAAAATGCCATGTTAAATGGTAAAGCCAAAAAAAAACCCTAAACAGATTTCAGGATACAGCGACAAAATCCCGCTGCTTTAAAAATGTTTCAAAAGGTGCAGCAAGCTCACAAGTACGGATCATTTATGCTAAAACCTTTGCTGTAGGCAGGGATTGTCTCTGTCTACCATTTTAATACATATTTACATGCTAAAACATCAGAATTAGAATTCATTAGTGTAATCTGAGGTCTAGATCTAGATTGGGAGTTGTTTGATTAGTAGCTTTGGGACATTGTTTTTGTAGTGAGTCTGCCTGTCTCCTACTTTTGTTTTTCCTTATTTGGCATGACTCTCTGTAATATGGTTGTGCTCGAAGACTAATCTCTGCTATCTCAGCTCTAATTAACAGAACATACATAGTTCCTAGGCACATTTGTTGTTTTTGTTTGTTGTTTTTTTCTGCAAAGATCTCTGTGTTGTTTTGTGCAAAGCACCTGGACTTAACTTCCTACTGACAGTGATAAAAATGAGATACCAAAATTACGTACTACTTGACAGGATGTGACCTGCATGATGTCAACACTGTGATTGTCGTAATTCCTGAAAACAGGGCCCTTTTGAAACTAAGAGAGCTGCATTTAGAATGCAACTGGTTTCTTGTTTTCTTATTCAGCAGGTAGGTGCTAAAACAGATGCTTTCACTCACACTTTTTTGAGGAAGTACATGTCAACTGTGCAGCTGCTGTGTATAGGGTCTGAGGTTTACCTATGTCAGAGGACGTGATGTGGGGGAGAAGAGAGTGCTTCAACCAGAAAATAAAACAGGAAATCCGATGCTGGAACAATTGAAAAGCTAAAATATTTTTTCTTTGACACTCATTTCTATGCTATACTGACTGTATGTAGTTAGAATGAGTGAAGTTAAACATGACAAAGTTAGATCAAACATCAAACCCTATAATTTATTTATCTTCAGTGTGAATTTTCTGTTGTGGTGGACCCTGAGAGCACGTTTCTTTTCGTATGTTTTGGTACAGTGAGGAAAAAACTGAAACCCATCATATCAATGACATGCGTAGCTAACCTCCCTAACTGCCAAACATCAAAGTGCCCTTGATTTCCTCTAACTGAGCATGTTAATTGGTGCTTGATTGATAACTTGAGCTCACAGGCGATGGCATGTGTCGTCTAAACTGTTCCAGGGTGTCTTTTTGAAATCAGTGGAAGAAGGATCACTGGCGGGCCCATTAAAAAATTGCCAGTGTACACACTTGCAAATAAGCTGTCACACATTACAAATGAGATTACCTTTTTCAGTGTGCCCTGGAACTTTGAGATGAGGGGATGCATGGGTAAGACACGGAAATAGCTCAAATTGTTTGGTTTTTATCAGTGTGCTTGATCTGCAAGTGCTGTTTATGGTTCCTTCATGCATGGTGAAAAAAAAGAATATTCACAGCTTGGAGCACAATGTAATCAGTTGCAGTAAAGTAAGAATTAAAAGTTAAAAGATAGGGCTCAGAGTGAATGATGCTTTTTTTTTTTTTTTACATTTCTAAAAATAATGACAGTGCTTTCATTTCTTGTAAATATTTTCATTAAACTAGTGCACAGAAACAAATCAGTAATTATATAATTCATCCCTTCATTTATGAGATTAAAGCAGCAATAATTGGCATGTACAAAATACACAAGACACACAATGTTAGTATTATGAATGACAACACTGTGATACAACTATGAGAACAGGATCAGAGGTGAAAAAGCAGTTATCGTATTTGCATTCAGTGGCGAGCACACAAACTAATTGTCTAGTTTGCATGGCAAAGATCACCGAGGTCAGGTAGAGCCCACATGAGGCAAGAGCTTTGTTGGCCATCTGATAGTGGCTTGCATGTATCAGACATCAGAAGCATTTTGAGCTTTGACAAAAGAGAAGCGGCAGAACAGCTCCACATTTAAGTGACGCTGAGGATTAAGAGTGAACACAGGAGCTCAGTCATTATGAACTAGAATTTGTTCATGTACTGTTCAAATATGTATCAGGAGAACAAAAAAAAATTATTATTATTATTATATTAGTAACAAAATATTGATTAAAGGTACTTAAGATAACTGACTATAGCACAACAGAAACTTCACGTCACCGCAGCAGAAGCACAGGTGTAACTTATAACGTTAATGTAACAAGTTACACCTGTGCCTTTCCTGCAATGACAAATTAACACTCTGTGTCTATTAGTACCAAAGCTTCACTAATCACTATTTTGACATCAATCAATATGTTAACAATGGGTCAAATAACCTTTTGTAATATAAAAGTGTTGTTTAAAAAACCACAGAGAATTGTTACCAGAATACAGTTGCCCACAGCTCTACAAAGCAACTTCCAGTTTTGGTTTTATGGCCCGCAACTTTACTGTTTTGGTTCAGTCTCACTGATCTCTTTAATCTCATTTCCAGTCACAACAAAAAGCTGTTTGTAGAGAGGACGCTCTAACAAACTCATTGTATGCTAGCAATTCAGCACCAGACAGCTGACAGACTACTACTTCCAGCGGAGAAAACGTGACCCAGGACCCTGTAGAGTGCCCTTCCAGTGGAGAAAACATGATCTAGCACCCTCTAGGGTGTTCTTCCAGTGGCGAAAACATGATGCAGGATCGTCTAGGGTACCCTTTCAATTGATCAACGTGATGACATGCTCTCTAGGGTGCCCTTCCAGTGGAGAAAATGTGATCTAGCACCCTCTAGGCTGCCCTTCCAGTGGAGAAAACGTGACCCAGGACCCTGTAGAGTGCCCTTCCAGTGGAGATAACGTGATCCAGGACCCTCCAAGGTGCCCGTCCAGTGGAGAAAACATGATGCAGGGTCGTCTAGGGTATCCTTTCAATTGATCAACGTGATGACGTGCTCTCCAGGGTGCCCTTCCAGTGGAGAAAACGTGATCCAGGACCCTCCAAGGTGCCCGTCCAGTTGATAAACGTAATGAAGTGCTCTCTAGGGTGCCTTACCAGTGGAAAAAACATGACCCAGGACCCTCTAAGGTGCCCTTCCAGTGGCGAAAACGTAACGCAGTGTCACATAGGCTGCCTTACTTGCTAGAAAAGGTACTACATGCAACTGCTGCCCTTTGAAATTTTTTCTCCCCAGCCCCTGAGACAGCCTGAGTCCGCCACTGATACTTACTGCAAAACAGTTTACAGTACTATAACAAAACAAAAGACCTTTCTCACAGAAGAAATTTTAACATGTCACAGTAGGAAAAGCACAAGAGTAAATAATACAATTAACGATGGCTGAGTTCCATTTAGCCATGGCTTACTGGGACAATTGAACAGAATGGAGCCATCGTTACTGTCATCAGTAGCACCTGTGTTTTTCCTACTGTAAGTCAATTTAAGAAAGAGTTGATTCATAGTATATACAATTAGTATGAATTAGGTTTAAGTTTTTAAGTTTTTATGATGTAATTTAAACTGTAAAATGTATTCCAAATGTAATTATTTATGTTAATATACTGTTAATGGGTTATGATTGTGGCAGACTGGTGTAATTATGAAAATTCATAAACACTTATCCTAGCTAGTCAGTCTGGAGGTGACTTATGTGTTCGATCACTGTGGCTATTGATCCCCTGATTAAACCATCTGCTGTTCGACATGTTAAATCCCTCGTATTGTATGAAAGACTGAGAGTAAAAACACTAAAGTGCAGGTCCTGTTTATGTTATTCTTACCCACAGAAATGAATTCCATGTAGTATGTAAACCTTATACAAATGGTTGACTATGTGACAATAACAGTACTAAAATGTTCACAGTTGCTTTGATGCATGCATGCATGCATGCAAAGCAAATTTTGCTAAAGTTTAACTAGAGGGGAAAAAAACTATGACTGAAACTAATATAACAAACAAACAAACAAACCAAGGAAAAGTTGAATCATATCCGCCTGAATGCCTGGTTTGACTTTTTGCCCTTGAGCTGTTAGATAGGTACAGAGGCAGGACATGTCGTGAACAGCCAAAAATATCTATTGTCTATATTGCCAGTGGCACATAGCCTATGGGTGTAGTGTAAGCATGCATGTTTCTTGCGTGGTTGTGTGATTCTAACATTTGAGCCAGAATTACCTTCACTACTGTTTACCATTAAATCCAATACTTAAATATATGGCAAGTAATATTTCAATATTTACTATAAACAAAAATTCAGTTATAGTTAAGGCAGTCACACTGCCAGGTTGAAGTGGAAAGACTAACAAACACCCACTCTTTCTCATGGTTCAAAAAGATAGACAGCGCATGACAGTGCATGGGAGCACTGTAGCATGCAACATATAGTGCATGAATTTGAATTTGTTCAAATTACAGCATGTGCCAATTCACACTTCATTGGATGCATGCTCTATGTTACTGAAACACTTGCCGAGCTGCTTCCTTTTCAGTCGGCACCTTGCCGTTTTCAGCAGGATTCCTTGACAACAACTCAACAATGCTGTAATATTAACGTGCATAATAAAAGTCAAACAAATACAGCACAACAGTCACACGTCCTGTCTGAAAATAATAGTCGTTATCTGCATTAAGTGGTAGTTTAGCAGTGGCAGTTAGAGTGGGAGTCATTGGGTTTAGCTTTGAAAAAGAAAATAAAAACGGGAAACTGCATTCCAATGTACATTTGTTCCTGTTACATACATCCTTCTTTAAATAAATACAAGCTGAGTTGTCCGGGGTGCTCAGGGCCGTGATGTTTGGCTCGGTGACACCGCTGGCCTGCTGCCTTACATGGGCAAACCTCTGAACTGACTGAGACGGCTGGAATTTCAGAGCGTGACGTCACTGCCTACAACTCTCCCAGAATTTGGATGAAGAAGTTTCACTTTTTTGGTGGGATTTGAACCTCTGTTCTATTTCCTAGAAAGCGAGGTAAGCGAAACTATCGAGCGCCTTTCTAACGCTTCAAACGTATCTGTGTCTATCGGGTGTGTTTAAACTGGTGTAGGTTAAGGTATGACTGGTAACCCGGTGTTGGAATGGCTCGTCTTCAATTTGTTCGGCCTTGTTAGGCTATAATATGTATTTTACTGTAGCTCGGACGGAGTTCACAATGAGGGCGTGGACTCACTCGGTAACCTTGGCTGGTAGAAACCTTACACGAGGATACTAACAAAGCTAACTTGTCGGTTGCCAATGCTGAGCCAGGCTCAGTCATGCAATAAAAATATAAGCCATTGTGAACCGTCAAGTTTTGCCAAAAGGGACTCTGGGCGTCTCTGGTGTTTCTCTTTTTAGCCAAGTGGTCGGTTGCTGAGCAATGCGGAAGACACACTGTCACCGGAGAAACACGAGAGCCCCGGTGTACAGAGAAATATGTCGCCGAATTCCACTTTAGCAGCCTCATAAGCGCCCATTTACTAACTGTTTAACGTTTAGCGAGGGTTTGCTAGTTTGGCTTCGTCGTTAAAGTACACAGCGTTGCCTACATAATGTATGAACGGACGCACTTGTTTACGACAGCACTGGTTCGCCACGTTGTTTATGAAGCTTTGACGGTAGTCTTCATTACAAAACATACAGAAAACTGTAGTTCATGATCATTACCTGTGACTTCTGTATCCATTAGACTATATAAATGACAATACAATTCATGTCACACATAAGTTATAAGTTTGCTGAGACATGAAACGCAAAGTGTAGTAGGACAGTATTAGGCCCATAAAAGAGTGGTGTATCTTTACAGTACTGGCCTATAGTTTACTTTTAGCCCAGGTCTGGATGAAAAGACAAGGCTGGAAACCATCTTTGCCAACTGGCCAGACCTGGGCTCCACCAGGTGACTTTTCAGAAGTCTAGCTGAGTCCTTAAATAGTATAAGGTCATACTAATATGATAAGTTCCAGACTAAAGATATTGTTCTTCCATAACATGTACAAAAAATAAGTCTCACTTTCCTCTTTAAAAGACTGAATTCAAACTTTGACTTAGATGTTGGATTTCAAATCAATAACAACAAGGTCCCCTGAGAGTGCTGTCATCAAACTGAATACATCCCCGTTGCTCTGACACATTTCTGACTCAGGCAACATTAAACGGAGCTGACTTTAAAATATTTGGTTAAAAACAACTCATTTGACAGTGTTGATGATGTTGAAGTTAAAAGATGAGTGGCTCAGCTGCTTTGAGCCTGGGCCCCCCTGGTAGGTTTAGTCAAATGATTCTTCTGTTTGTGTTTCTTGGCATATTTTATTGAGGATGCCTTTTTTTGTTTTGGAAGGAACAGCAGCAGTTCCCCAAAATGCACAGTTTTAGAGTAGAGCGTGTGCCACCTGTGTGTTACCACAACCAGATGCTAGTGTGCGTCTCTATGATCTACTGTAAGTGTGGTCTTTAGGTACCAGAAATGAAGACAAGACCCTCTGTGTTTTTGTCTTTCATGTATCACTATTATATTTCATGCATAGACCTTAAGCATCCAAATTTCCAAAAAATAAATACCAAATACCTCATCTTTTAACAACACCTACTGCTGTTCTCAAGGTATTTCCAGAATCCTCCACTCTTCTAACCATCTGGATGAAAAAATATTTTGCTCCACGATAAAACTAGTTTTAACCTGATGGCTGTCGGAAAGGACGTACCTCCTTGCTGAATTTGTTCAGCTTATTTTTGACTGATGCTGTAAATTTCCATATAAAAAAAATTAGTTTATGAATTGCTTGTGATTTACAAAGAGAACAAGGACTTATGTCATTTCCATCTGCCTGGATTAGGATATGCAACTTCAGAAACAGGTTAAAACTATAGTTTAACATGCAGATAAAATAAATTTAAAATAGATAAGCAGATAAAATAGATCCAGATAGTTAGAAGACTCCTTGAGGAATTTGGAACTACCTCCAGAACAGCAGTAAGTGTTTTTCAAAGATAGCAAGTTATTTATTTTTCAGACAATTGGATGCTTATCTCTGTGACTCAAATATAATGGTATTACACGAGTTGCTAGGTACCACCAAAGCCTTATGTTGTGCTAGTGTACCAGGAAACACTTGTCATACTCTTACTGGATCTCTCCATTGGCAGTGAAACAGCCTTTAAGGTAAGTGTGGGAGGTCAGAATCTGAGGGTTAGTGTCTGATCCACTCTTGAATGCAACAAACCCATAACGTTTTATTGAGAGCCCACCTCCACCAAAAAAGTACCTTTTGAACAGATATTGACACAGTCCAGCCTATGGCACCACATTAACGGGGCATAGCATGGACATGTCAGTGCCTGCTTTACATTTATGCTGTGCTCTCAGGTAAAGGTGTGACATGTAGTAGGCTGCTTTGCACAACAATACTGTCATGTGTCTTTTACTTTAATCCATGTGGTTTACAAACCAAAAAAATCCTGCTGGACAATTTAATGAAATGGGTTAGTTGATGCTCATACTGGCGCTCATTGCCCTTACACTCCTTTCTTTAGTTTCACACTAACTACATTGCTTGCAGTTTTTACTATGCATGCAGCTTGTCTCCTTCTACTAGCCTTCCCTGTTAGCTCCCTCAGTTGTGCAATTAAAAAAAACATGGGCAAAAAAATAGTATAGTCTTATGCAATTTGTTTGCAGGTTTATTGCACTAGATAGACTGGATCATGTTTCTTAAAAAGGCTTTGCCGTTGCGTCAGAAAGCACCTACCAAACAAGGCTAGCGCAATGCTCAAGGTCCATAGGAGAATTTGCAGCGTTCCATTAGTGAGACAGGAAATATATGCACATCCTCACCAAACTCTGCAAAAGTGGTGCTAGGAACAAATAAATTCAGAGTAAATACAAGTGTTGGATTTCTGTCCTGTGCTTTTACCACTGCAAGAAAACTGCATCTCTTGTTGCTTGTGTATTTGATGTAAGTTACTATGTAAAACTGATTTTGTGTGATCGGTATCTGACATGACATGATAACTATGGACCTAAAAAACTGACATAATTATTAAGCACAAACTCAAATCAGGTACCACACTGAAATAGCAGTCAGTTAAATGATTATCTATCAATAAGTAATTGGTTAATTGTAACTTTTTAGTAACTTACCAAATAAAAAATACCAAACATCTACAGATTACAGCTTTTCAAATGTGAGGATTTGCAGGGTCTCTATGTTAAAATAAGCAGCCATCCTGTTGGGTTACGGGTTAGGAACTTGTGACAGGCATTATTTTACATTTTAGAGCATGCATATGATTAATTAAAAGCATCAATAGAGCATGTAAATGACACCTATTCATATTTTTGCAATATTCTTTCTAAATTGATATCAAGAATGAAATGATTACTATTACCTACTATTGTGTATGAAGTTTCAACAGTAGGTTAATATTTATTTAATATCATATAGAATAATATAATTCTATGACTGCTGCTATCATGCTAATAAACATCATCATTGCGATGAAAAAAAAGTGAATCATTTTGTCCTTTTCCTGAGTGAGATACCTGCATATAACATTTTATTTTAGTCTTCATTGTCTTCATGAAATAATTGTTGAATTTTTTTCTGCAGTGTCACTTGTCAATATTGTTTCCCCGTGCTGTATCTTTGCAGTGAAATATTACTCCAACAGACTGTGACAGGTGCCTGGTGAGAAATGACTGACTAAAATTTAAATGGACAACTTTCACTCAGGTTCATGCAGGATTTATTGGAGCCTGTCCAGGGTTCATCATTTCACTGATGAATGACACAGTCCTGGAAATAATATCTATGAGTTGACAGGACCCACTTATTGTGTTTGTGTGGTCTTGTACAGCACAATTATAGTTCGTCCATTTGAGTAATACAGAATTGTCTCTATTTCTCAATCTCAACAGATTAACACAGTAAAGGGCATTGCTTCACCAATCTTCCAGAAATCCCACACATCCTGAACGGAGAAAAGGTAAGATAACTTTTGCTGTACTTTGCTGCTTGAATAAAGAAGACGAAAGAAGCCATATAGCGATATTGTTTTAATCAGGGGGATAACGGCACCCCCCCCAAAAAAATTGATAGACTATTAACTTGTGTTACAAGTCGCGGTGGATATTTTACTTGTGGACCAGGTAAAGCATATATACAACCAAGCACACTTTCTTGTGTTTGCCACTTTAAGTTCCCAGACCCAGACCATCCTCATGGACACATTTGTGTTTTTGAGGGTGACTTGGCCCTAAGTTGCTAAATGATATGTCCATATTTTTTCACTTAAACTGGAAGTTAAAACATATGACCTTCTAATATATATATATATATATATATATATATATATAATATGAATACTGTATATATATTTACAGGATGGTCTGGCAACTTAAAGTGGCAAACACAAAAAAGCAAAATGTTCTTGGTTGTCCCCAGCATGAGAGCTTGTTGTTAGTAAATTGTTGTGTTGAAATGGACTTCTTACTGTTGTAATTGCTCAGTAAACAGGTATAGTGTTAGGCCATGTACAAACTGCAGGCCTTAAAGAGGAAGTGGGGTACTACTGCTTTAAGGGTGGGAATTGCAGGGTACCTCACGATATACGGCTCAAGATAACGATAATATCACGATACAGCAATTCTGTACTGCCACTGGGAAATTTTGAGTTTGGGTTTTAAACCTTTGGGGTTGCTGTAGCTAAGTCTGTGTAGAGTGCTGAAGCAGCAGAGTAGCAGATCAAGTCAGTGAAGTTAGCAGCTCTTTTTATTTCACACAGAGCTCAAGAAACATGTTCTTTAAGTATTCAGATGATCAGCATGTGAAGCAAAATGTGTAGTTTATGTTAAGATTATATCATTGCAATTGCGATGCTAATGTCTGTTAGCACGTTAGCCCTCTCCTTATCTGTGCTTGAGGCTAGCGGCTCTTGGTTAAGTTAGCGGCTACTAGCCCCCAACTAAACTGTGGATGGTCGACTTGCATTGTGGGTAATTGAACTGTCAGATTGTGACAAGGAGTCTGACAATGTTATAGGAGTACACTGCCAAATCGCTGGAGAACTATTTTAGTGCTTTGGGCCTATTTTGTTTGTTAGATTGTTCACACTTTGTAAAGTGGCTAAAATGTAATACCAATCTGAAGAAGGTGCCTCAAACTGACTTGCACCAATACCAAAGATGTACATTCACAGCATGTGGTGTCATCATGTATTTTGACTGGCTCATAGCTGAGTTTATTGCATTCAATATGGTTTAGCTCATTGTAAAAAACCACACGTTATTCAGCCATGGCCAACTCTTTTATTCAAGTCTTTAGATCTTTAATGCTATTTTAGGGCTCCTATCTCTGCACTGACATTGCAGGCACATTCTCATGTGGTGCTAGTTAGCCGTCTCTTCTAATACACTTTCATTCTTATGACTGTTCAGACTGATTTGGCATTGCTACAAATGAGATTTGCACCAGGTTTAGGATTTGAGAAAATTAGGGAAAGTTAACAGAAAAAGAATAGACTGTATTTTAAATGCAAATAAAATAATAATAATGTCAATAAAAAAAATATGTAATTCATAAACATGTAAGAATTTCAGTCCTCTGAATACTTCCTTTGGGATTTGGTTGAAGTCAATTGTGCTGTTTGAGGAGATGAGCACTTTCAAGCCAAAATGCTCCTCAAAACATTTCCAATCCAGGCAGGGTGGTGGAATGTTGTCTCTTAGCTGCTGTTAATATCACCGTGAGCTCTGCTGACCTACGTCACTCATGGGGAGTAATCAGACTTTAATTATACCCTCTTAATCACTTGAAGACAATCCGTGTGAGAGGACAGCTTCTCACAGTCAATGGGCTATCTTTACCTTTTAATCTGGCTCTGGTCGCCCGATGACCAATAAAGTAAATTATGTGTAGATGTTTCTGTAATTTTGCGATAAAATGTTTACATTCACAGTTTTAAACTAACTCATCTTCTCTTTTCTACATTTTGACTGTATACCCGTAAAAAAGGGGCTTGTAGGGCAGGCTCACAATGTTACCACCATCTTAGGTCAGACCGAACCCAAACAGATTGTGAAAAGTTCTCTACAATCATTATTATTCCTAGTGAAAGGTATGCACCACAGAACTGGCGCCGAAGAGTGACTCTGGCTCACTGAATTTGGCATTCCAAGTTAAAAGCAAACCAAACTGATATTGCCCTCAATACTGTCTTCATATTTTCTCCATATTTGGAAATGTTTACCTCCTCATGATGGTTGACAGAGGTTGGAAGAGGGGATGTGAGTCATTTCAGCTGCACAAGGCTTTCTAGGGGTGAGAGGAGCCTTCCAAGTGACTGCCATTTAGTGAAGCTAGCAGTTTTCTGTGCTTCAATGATCTGAAGAGAAACTGTGAGTATCATTCTATGCCCAATTTTAGTTTAAATATTTTAGTTTTATAGTAGCATGTGTGTAACGTGAGAGGATGCACGTGATTATTGGCAAAAAAAGGCGATGCATATTAAAATAATATGAGTTAAATGAAGCTAAAATGATTGATTTGTCTATGTCTTTTTTGTCCAAAACCGTGTATATGTAGGCTGCTTGTGGGGAACTTGTGTCACTATTTGTCGCTGCTTGATTGAAAGTTTAAGAGATGCCATTGCTATTTCCTTGCGTCAGACACAATACCAACACGCAATATTCCTGTGCATCTCTGCAAGTAAGGAAAAGACAGGGAATTGATATTGACTGTTCACCAGCTCACCAGATGTTCTGGAAAAGTTTTTCAAAAGTTTGGACTAACCCGGCGCTGCAGTGAGAGATTTTTTTGGCTGTGAGACTGGCCTTGTGTGCAACTGTCTGTCAGTAATATGAGAAGGTTAGAGATGAAAGTGAAAAGCTTAAAAATTTGTTTTGTCTGAAATTTTTTTTTTTGTTGGTAGAAATAGTTAAGTGTGTGTGCGTGTGTGTGTGTGGGGTTGTGTGTGAGTGTTAGGGGCAGCTGAGGTCACTGAAGAATTCCGATTTTGCAAACATCCACTCTAACTGATATCTAAAATTTAGCAAGTCTGACCTTCCTCCTGGCTCTTACTTTCACACTTCAAACACATAGTGGCAGGTGCCTGGCAGTAGTATTAGAGGGAAGAGGTAAATGATTTTACTCAGCTTTAAGGGCTGGCGCTGCTGACTTTAGTGATGGTGTGGTGTGATTATCTAATTACTTTTATGTATCAGCTCTTAGCCTTTAAAGTAGTTAGCCTGTTTGCGTGTGTGTATCAATTGTTTTTTTGTTTTTTTCTTATATTGGTTTATTGGAGACGAGAGTCTGTATGCTTACACATTCATTACTAAATATAAGCTACTAAAAGTTTATAAAATGATACATAAAGCATATTTCCAACCGTGCTTGACTCGTTTTCCCCTACATTTTCCATAGTACTGACCAGTTATAACCAAAAACTAAACCTAAACATCAACTGCTTTGATATTGTGCTATATACACCGATCAGCCATAACATAAAGACCACAGAGGTGAAGTGAACAACACATTATCTTGTTACCAAGAAATATTAGGCAGCAAATGAACATTTTGTCCTCAAAGTTGATGTGTTAGAAGCAGGAAAAATGGCCAAGTGTACGGATTTGAGTGACTTTGACTAGGGCCAAATTGTGATAGCTAGACAACTGGGTCAGAGCATCTCCAAAACGTCTGTAGTGGTCAGTTTCTATCAAAAATAGGGGTGTGACGAGATACTAAACCCACGAGATGAGATGAGATTTCGAGATTGGGTTCACAAGATCGAGACGAGACAAGATTTTAAAACCATTATTTAAGAAATCTTTAATGCTGAATTATATGAACATTTTGAGCATTAAACACTTAATATCTTGCTTTCTGATGAAATCTGCACCAGTTTATGGAGATTTTATTTATTTATGTAAAGAGAAAAACAAAATTCAGGTGGCAGGTGACAATTCAAAATCTATAGCCTAACTATAATAGAATCTAAGTCAGTGCAGCTCCCAGTTATTCTGTGTTGCTTTCAGATTTGTTTCTCCTGTAGATCAACTTTAATATTCCCTCCTCTTTGTGTCTTAGTTTGGGGAAGTAACCTCTTGTGAGTGTGACACCTTTTCACCTGAATGGTAAATTATTTAATTTTAATTTAGTTAGAAACTCCTGGGGTCCCCGCGACCTTGTACGCAAGATAAGCGGTTGACGATGGATAGATGGATGGATGGGGTCTCATTTATAAACGGTGCATAAGTATAAAACAGGGCTGGAAACGTGTGTACGCCACTTCCCAAGCAAAGGTTGTGATCTATGAAAAAACTAATTTTATTGTAGGCTTAAAGCCTTTCTGAATAAAAAACAGCCGTTTGATTGACTTTGATTGACAGAAAAACACACAATTTAGTATAATTTGCAGCACACAAAAAGATCTAGATTAAGGATAATAAACAAACGGAAATATCTGTTTCTGCAAAAGAACACCTCAGATATGTTATATTAATTAATACTTGCATGCAGTGCAATTTATTCTCATAAATAAGGTGAAGAGTAGGACAAATTACATTTAAATTGATGCAGTTTTTAATGAGTCAGTTGAGCAAATACGAGCGCATAGTTTCATAGCCTATTGTTTTCAGATGTTCATTGCCTTTTCGAGCTGAATGCCAAGCGCCAGTGTGTGGATCTGATGCGCTGCTTGTAAAAACACATTATGGAAATATAACACTATTTTATGTCATTTACAACAACTCATATTTCTTCTAACTCATCAGCAGCCTCGTTAAGTGAGTGGATTGTTTGTGTAACCTAAATAAATTGTATTTCACTGCATGAGAAAATGAATGTGTGGCTTGACAGCGTGTGAAAAATGTCAATTGCGTGAGTCTCGCGAGACTGACGAGAAATCTTGTCACATCTCGTCTCTCGAGATCTCCTGGCATGAGATCTTGTCACACCCCTAATCAAAAGTATTCCAAGGAAGGAAAA